CCAATCAAAATTTCAATGTCATTCTTCAAAGAAATAGAACAATTATTGATGAAATTCATATGGAATCACCAAAAACCCCGAATAGCCAAAGCTCTACTGAAAAAAAAAGAAGGAAATGGAGGCATCACACTCCCAGACTTCAAACTATACTACAAAGCCATAATCATCAAAACTGCATGGTATTGGAACAAGAACAGACATACAGACCAATGGAATCGAATAGAAAATCCAGAAATAAACCCACAGATTTATGGTCAACTAATCTTTGACAAAGGAGCAAAGACTATGCATTGGAGCAAAGAAAGTTTGTTCAATAAATGGTGCTGGGAAAACTGGGTCGCTACATGCAAAAGAATGAAGCTTGACCACTACCTCACACCATACACAAAAATCAACTCAAAATGGATTAAAGAACTAAACATAAGACTTGAAACCATAAAATACATAGAAGGAAATATAGGCAAAACACTACGGGATTTGCACATCAAAGACATCTTTACAGACACATCACCCAAAGCAGTGATAGTGAAGGCAAAGATAAACAGCTGGGACTACATCAAATTAAAGAGCTTCTGTACAGCAAAAGAGACAATAACAAAAACAAAGAGAAACCCCACCAACTGGGAGAACATTTTTGCACCCAACACTAATGATAAAGGACTGATCACAAAAATCTTGCAAAGAGCTGATGAGACTCAACAACAACAAAGAAAATAATCCAGTCAAAAAATGGGCAGAAGAGCTAAAAAGAAACTTCTCTGAAGAGGAAATGCAAATGGCCAACAGGCATATGAAAAAATGTTCAACATCACTTGTCATCAGGGAAATGCAAATCAAAACTACCATGAGATACCATCTCACACCAGTGAGAATGGCACATATTAAAAAAACTAGCAACAACAAATGTTGGCGAGGATGTGGAGAAAAAGGAACTCTTCTGCACTGTTGGTGGGAGTGCAAACTGGTCCAACCACTGTGGAGAGCTGTGTGGAGATTTCTGGACCTACTAAACATAGAGCTTCCATAGGATCCAGCAATTCCACTCCTAGGTATTTACCCAAAGGACACAGAAACATCAACTCCAAAGAGCACCTGCACCCCTATGTTTATAGCAGCACTGTTTACAATAGCTAAGCTTTGGAAACAACCGAAATGCCCAAAAACAGATGACTGGATCAAGAAGATGTGGTACATATACACCATGGAATATTACTCAGCATTCAAAAAAGATAAACACATGCCATTTGCAGCAACATGGATGGCGTTGGAAGGGATCATGCTCAGCGAAATAAGCCAAAAAGAAAAAGAAAAATACCGGATGGTCTCACTCATAGCAGGAATCTAGAAAACTTAAATAAGGGACCAGGAAAATGAATATAAGAAAGTGAAAATCAAAATCAACAAAAAACTATGAACCAGAGACACTTTTTGGGGGGTGGGGGGCAGGAGGGGAAGGATTGGGGTCAGAATGGGGCGTTTGCAATTGTATGGGGGAATATAAAAATAAAATTTATTATTTAAAAAAAAAAAAAGAGGGTATGTGTATGTTTTAGCTTTGACCACAAAGCTACAATTCACATTCCTCTCCTGCCTTTTTTTTTTTTTTTAAAGATCCATCCATTTATGCATACAAGAACTGGGGTACAGGCCAGAGGTGTGGAGGGTGAGAGGATTCACCGGAGACAGAGTGGGGAGCAAAACAGGCGGACTGAAGGGAGCAGGAGGGACAGGACAGGTCTGCTGTGCCATGTGCGTTAGCTCCCTGGCCGGGGATCAAACTTGTGCTGCAGTGGCTTTGGACAGCTTCATAGTGCTGTGTCTTAAGCCCCTGCGCCACCAGGGAGGCCCCCCTTACCTGTCTTTGAAGACCCTTCATAATTCCATCTCATTGTATTCATCCAACCTGTTTTCCTTTCCCTTTCTTTTTTTTAAATTGAAGTAACATTGCATTACAACATTGTATTTCAAGTGTTATCCTTGAGACTCAACATGGCCGATCTTTTTCCTTGGCGTATGTTGCCACAGTACTCATCAGGCATCTCCACAATCTCCACTCAATTCTCTGCTTGCCTCTGGGGTGAGGAGTAGCAATTAACATTATGGACTCAGGTGTGATCAGGTCAAGCTCCTACCTGGGTTCAACCTGGTTCAGAACCTGAACTGATGCAGACCTTAGGCAGGTTATCTACCCTCTCTCTGCCTCTGTTTCTTTACCCATAAGATAGTAAAGAACAGTGCCTCCTGGCAGAGCTGTAGGGGATGCTATGAGTCTGTGCACGGAAACTATTGACATTCCTTTGGGAAAGACTTAGAAGAACCATGTGTCCTCTCCCATCCACTGGGATTGATATGATTAGAGGACCCACCTGATCACCTGTTGGTTTCCAGATTTCTTTCTCTCTTTTTTTTTTTAATAGAGGCATGTTTATTTATTTATTTGTTTGTTTGTTTTGTTTACACATGCACTGGGTACAGTCAGAAGCGCGGGAGGGTGAGAGAATTTACCAGAGCCACAGCGGGGAGCAGAGCAGGCAGAAGGACCGAAGTACACTGCTGAGGGGAGCAGCGGGCGGCAGGAGAGGTCTGCGCGCCATGTGGGACCCTCGCCGGCGGCCGGGGAGCAGCCGGGGATCACACCGGCGCTGCAGAGGCCACGGGCAGCTTCGCAACCCAGCGCTCAACCGCTGCGCCACCAGGGAGGCCCTCTTTCTCTCTTTTTTTTTTAAAAAGATCCATCTATCTATGCATACAAGAACTGGGGTGTAAACCAGAGGTGCGGGGGTTGAGAGGATTCACCAGAGAGCACCGGGAGCACAACAGGCAGATCTACCGAAATACACTGCTGAGGGGAGCAGCGGGCAAAACAGGAGAGGTCTGCTGTGCCACGTGGTTGCTTCCTGGCCAGTCCCAGCCGGGGATCAAACTTGTGCTGCAGTGGCTGGTGATAGTCTGATAGTGCTGTCTTTAACCCCTGTGCCACCAGGGAGGCCCAGTTTCCAGATTTCTTGTCTGCTAAACTGGAAAAAGACTGGTCCAGGTCAAGCCTAGGCAGCAGGCTGTTTAATTCGAGCCAGCTGGAGAAGGTCCAGAGCTCCGGCACTGAGGGTTGTGTTCTGACCTGAAGCCCTAGCCCAGAATGGTTGCCTCCCAGGAGACAACCGTGCAACTCCAGCCTGCTGAGGGCTAGTCTATGACTTAGCTTTCCAGGCCTTCGGTGTCCATTCTTTTCCTCCCAATATCTGCTCCATTTACCCTGCACTCAGAGTTCTCATGCCAACAGTTCCGTATGCAACTAGAATTCTGGTTCTTAGTCTTTTGAGCCTCTTTAAAAATCTGTTAAAAGTTATGAAAAATGCTTATACATGTATTATATATAATGTATATAAATGTATATATTTCTAGCAGGGCAGCCGACAATCCTGGAGTCTTGTGTTCTTGCTTAGGAAACTCTGCCCTTAAATACCTGAGTGATTTAATGCATGATCTCTCCTTGGAGATCCATTCATTCACTCAGCATATTATCAAAATCAGAAAGACAATGGCTACCGCCTGAGACCCTAATGGGCCAGGCACGCTGTATTATCTCTGACCCTTACAAGAACCCTGAAATGTAAGTATGGTCATCTCCATTTTGCAGATACGGGAACTCAGGCTCAGAATGAAGTGACTTGCCCAGGGTCACACATCGATTGTGTGGTATTTGCAGAAGTTAGATTAGTTTGGTGTAGCCCGGCTACACCAAAGCCTGGGCTTCTGCAGCTGGATCACAGTGTCTCTGGTGATAATCGAGTTGCCTAATTTCTGCTCATAACAAGCTAAACTTGAAATACCAGGAAATGGAAGAGTGAAGTTAGAAGCCCAGGCTTTTTTTTTTTTTTTTTTTTTTCTAATTTAAACAATTCCCTTGAACCAATGAAAAACCATTGCAAAGGGAAAGTATTGCCTTTGAAAGTCGCACTTTGTCCTCAAGAGGTGTGGCCTGTAGGCTTTCTCAACTAGGACTTATGTGTATTATCTAACCACAAACCAACTGTCAGTCATTACGCTGCACTTTAGAGCACGGCTATGATTGGTAGACTGTGAGAGCAACATTTGAATTTAAAGAAAAAACCAAAACAACCAAGGGTCATTACTTCAGCAAAGATAAAGTTTTGTTGTTAGAGAAAACCCCTACTGTAGTCTGAGATTAGGCACTAAAACCTCGCTTTAGGGTAAAACCATTACCTCAGTAACATGGTGTTAATACCGTTAAGTTTCTCATTAAGAAATCAGCCCCTTCTGTGCAAAAATAAATAAAATCTTAAAAAAAAAATCAGCCCCTATTTTAAATAAAATTCACTGAAAAGATGTTAAAGATCACATGAAAGTGCTTTGTAAACTGCAAAGGATACAAAAAGGCTAGTAAATACAAATATTTGTGATTCAGGATTCAAATAAAAAGAATTACGCTCTGAAGAGAAAGCAGAAATCGCCCATCTTCCACGGCTGCACCAGAGCAGAGCCGCAAGCAGCCACCTTCCTGCCGCCCACTTTCCTACCTGTCACGAGATCAGGTGGAGGTGTTTTCTGCCGCCCACCTTCCCTCTGCCTTTCCTCACCACTAAGTGAGTTGTATCCTTAATTCTTTCTTCCAGAAAAGGTGTATATAATAAAACTTACAAAAGAAAAATGCTGGCCAGGTAACTTGATAGAAAAGAAACCATGGTCTCCATGTATAGATTGAAAAACTGCATTAAAATACATTTAGTATACTTCCTTCTGAGTCTGGCATGCATCCTCAACTTAGTACAGTAAGATGGGATCAAAATTTTAAAGAACTTGAAATGTTGAAACTTCTATAATTCAATTATCTTTTCCTCAGTAATAACTTATTACAGAAGTTTGATTTAATAGGTAAGGGTGAAAATGACAGTGTTTCAAATTTTATACCTTCTCTGGCCCACTTTCTCCTTTTATATTCATGAAGTAAAATAGAACTCAGAATCACCAAAGCAGCAATATAGATTTTTCAGGGTTTTTTTGTTGAAACTCACTTTATTTTAAAAAAAAACAGTCATGAACAATAAATTACAATCATTTCCCCCCTTTTATAAATTCTTCATAAAATATATTTGACAATTTTAAAAGAAAATTTCAAAAGTTGCTTTCAATTTTGAAGTGCTGATGACTTATTTTCTGACCATCTTGTCATGCTGGTGAATTATTTTGTAGCTGCTACAATAGTTTGATTGATAAACATTTTACAATTAAAAACAACAACAACAAAGAGAAAAAACAGACCAGCAGAAAGAACTATTCAGTGTGCTATTTATCTGACACTTAACACTTACTTCATCGTAATGATAAAGTATCCCTTAGCACCAAAAATCTACAAGAACCCCAACTTTCTAAGTGACAACTAGTGCAAAATAACATTCTAGGAACTAACTGTACAACCCCATATTTTAACCGGCCACAGCTGCCTATAAGCTTATTTGAAATATTTGGTCTTTTTCAATTAAGACAAATTTCATAAACACTATAAACCATGGCAAAAGACCCTATGAGGAATAATTGTTTATTGAGTACCTATTATGGGCAAGGCACTATGCACACATTCTTATTTTCACTTTTTTCTCTAGCAAGGATTCAGGAATTTCCAAGTTTCATGAATCATGGTTATTTTTCATACTTGATTGGAAAAGGCTGTTGCTGTATGCCTTTTTTTCCCAACAGAACTTTAGTGCTGAGCACACAGTAGGTACTTAATAAATACCCCGACTGAAGAACAAATAATGACAAAAGAATTTACTATCATTTTGCTTGGTTTCATAGACTATTTGAAAATACAAGGACTTTGAGAAAATTCCAGAAGAAACATCCTGATCACCTCCCACGGTACTACAAGAATTCTACCTCACAGGTAAAATCTTTCAAAATAAATAATTACTAGCTATTTAAAGGAGGCAGGGCCAAAAATGAGGAAATCATGGCTCCAAGCACATAGACATTTGAAAGGCAAATGAAGCGCTGGCATTTCATTACCTGAACCACCACAAATCTCTGCAGTGCATGGTATTGATGAGACATTATAATGATGCTTTTCTACCTCCAGTAATTCAATTCCCTTAACCAGATCTGTGTAGAACCAATTTGGTGATATGTGTGGTCAATTATCAAGTGTTCCTGTGTATTTCTACCTCTAATTTTCAAAATAATTCTTATATAAGCTTGAAAATGTTAAAAGCATATGATTTTTTTCAATTTAAGAGGATTATCTCAACAAAACCTTTCAGTACAAATTTTAAACTTCCAGACCAAGTAATGCATAGTACAAAAATTTTACATGCTCCATTTTTTTGTGCTTTTTTTGTTTACCTTCTGTAGTCCCCTGAACACATTTTAAATAAAGACAAAATTATGACAGCATTCCGAAAGTTGTGGAAGTTCAAGAAACTGAGGAAACTATGCAAACTATCAATGATTTCAATATTCTAAATTTTTTTTTGACCAAAGATTCTAGTGCTTTATAAAGATGAACCTAGATACAATGGTCTTAAGCCTATCCAACCTTAAAGGCTAATGTTTTTAGGAAAACTTTCTTTTCTTAGATTTTGACTATCTGCATATACAGGAAAATAACTAGAAAAACCATATAGGGTTAAAATCAAACTGGCTTCAAGAAGAATAATGGTCTACTGGTTTTTGACATAGACCTTACCAAGGGATTGTATAAAATGGATAATTTTTCTACTTCAAAGATAGTTTATCCATTTGTTAAACTGTGTAGGTATCATCTCCTATGTTAGAAGAAGGTGATCAACATTTAATACAACCATATTACTACCATTACTGTGTCAAATAAGACAAAATAACATTAGTGCCAAATGAAAGGAATTCCAGTGATTAAACAAGAGTCTATCAAGGGTAGGCAATGTGAGGGTAGAGCTCATTTGGTTTCTTCAACTTTATGCTGAGGCTTTAAGTCTTGAAATCAGAAATTAATATATCAAGTACTGTAGTTCATCTGTAAAACAGAGGAATCCTGTGTTCAAATTTATAGCAGATTGCAGATGCTCAAGTGTGGACGTGTCCTAAAGCAGTGGTTTAATTGCTTAACTGAATGCTTGCTTACCTAAAGAAGGTATGGCGGAATCACCAATGTCCTTGCCAACCTGCTACACCATGACTGTGTGACTATTCCAACTGCTACAGCTATAGGGCACTGGAGAGCTCAAACAGACTTCAGCAGCTTTGGCTCTCTCAATTCCATTTATGTTTAATCAGATAACTTTAGATCCTCCAAAATGTTTTTTTAAAAAAAGCTGTATTACAAAAATAAAAACTTAGTATGAGTTCATTAGTGGGAGGGACAGGGTAGGAAGATGAAGGAAGGTTCTTTTATTTTTCATTACTGATTTCACCAGAAAAATCTCAAAAACCCAAACCTACATCAAATAATTTAAACAGAAGTGGCATTTTCTTCATATGGAATGCAAAATGCACACATTCACATACTTACATATACATAAATATATACATATATGTTTCCTTTACAAAGCTTCAAAGGTTGCATTACCAGCATGCAAACCTCTTTTTCCATGGAAATTCCTAATACTGACAAGGAATGTCTAAAATACTTAGAGACATATTTCCAGAAAACTGGACTCTCTTGGCTCTTAGAGAATTTTCCTGCCAAGCTTCTACCAATGATCATTCAAAAAAAATTTACACCCACATTGGTAATACACATTTAAAACATACTAACAAAAACGGTCAACTTGGACTTAAGGAATAACGAGGAAAAAAAACATCCCACAATAGAATCTAAACCCTTATAAGGTGTTTAGCCTTTTATATTCTTTTTCGGCCACATTATGTTGCATCACTGTTAAAACAGAAGCAGCATCTCATCCAAGGTATTTGCAAATAGTATATGTCACGTTTCCCAGCTGCTATCTTTAAATGCAATTTGTACTAATCTGAGTTCTAGTTCAAAAGCATCTGGACGATCCTGAGGGTTTGCAGCCAGCATTTCCTTAATCAGTTGTTTCATTCGCCCGTTCATAGACTTTTTCTTCACAGGAATGAGAAGTTCCATTTTGGGATTTTCCAGAAGCGCCTCCCCAACAGGCACTATCTCAGTTCCTTGTTTTACATAGCTCCCCAAGAGTTCCTTCTTTGTCTCTGTGTCTATGAATGTTATCCTTTCCAGCATTGCCCAGATGATAATCCCCAGAGCAAAGATGTCAGCTTTTGCTGTGTAATGTCCCTCCCACACTTCAGGAGCCATGTAGAAATCTGTCCCACATGCTGTGGAAAGGAAACACTTGTTTACACTGACAGGTTCTTCTGGGTTCTGACCAGAGGCTGAACAAACTTTACTTAGACCAAAATCAGCCACTTTTAGTGTGGGTTCCAAGTCACTAGTATCCAACCTGCTTTGAGAAATCAGGATGTTATCAGGCTTCAGATCGCGGTGGATGATCTGGTTTTTATGCAAGAAAGCCAGGGCACTGCTCAGCTGAAGCATAAAGCTGGTATTAGTTTTACGGTTGGGTTTCCTGGACAACAGATACTCATTCATATCTCCTCCGTCACAAAAATCCATCACAAACCACAAGTAATAGGCGCTTCTGGGATCAAAGGCAATTTCTCCTTTTAATGAAGTCTCTACAAGCTAGAGGAAGGAAAAACACAAATTACAATCATCTGCACGGTTTATACAATTTAGTTATAGAAAGACTAACTCGTTAAGTTAATTTTCAATTTTAAGTGGAAATTGGACAAACATTTGGTCAGTGCTTTCATGTGTATTTATTTTAAACTTCAGTCCTTCAAACTGTCACTTTATCCCTAATGAATATACATCAGCTCTCTAAGTCAAGTGATAGCAATATTTATTTAAAGATAGCTTTATTTTGAAAAGTATCCAACTGGCTACATATTTCCTGCATGTGTCAATGGAGCTGAACTCTCCCCACCTAGATAATAGCCTCATGAAATGACCAAAATTTTGGCATCTCGACCTAAGACAGAGTCAGCTGGGGTATAAACATCAATTAGGAAATTCAATCCAATGAATCAGCCCAAAATAAACTTGCTCACTACACATACACTATCAGCATCTGTGAAATCCAGAGAAAAATGATCAAAGAACAAGTCGTCACAGAAAGAAAGTGCTCCTGTAGTCAACGATAAGAAGAGAGTGACACCATTACTTCATAAACTTCCAGAAGCAGAATGCAAACATTCTGACTATCTCTATCACTGGGTGGTGTCTAAAAACCAATGTATAAAAATCAAATTTGCATTTAAATATTTCTTTGATACAAGCTGAAAACCTAAAATAAATCACTATTTTGTCATCATTATCTAATTATAACTTTACTACTTGAAAGTCAAGAATATTACTTCACTGAACATGAACTACAAGCCTAAAGTACAAGCATAGTGCTTGAAATCATTTGTTATATGGGGTCCTTTTCAAAGCCATGGATTGAACAAGCAACCCATGAGGGAAACAACAGCTGTTGAAGAGTGTGTGAACTGTTCATTTTACATTTAAATCCACTGACACTTCCTCTTGTCATTTTGGTGGGCAGAAGCAAAGAACACCTCCTCTCCTAGCCATCTCTCAGGATGACAAAGAGTAGTATTCAGTAGTCTGCAACTATCTTTTTTTGCATGCATTTTTCTTGTTGCAAGTTAGCCAGTGAGACAGAGAAAATGAAAGACTAGAAAGGTACAGATGACACAATTATTTGTCAGGTATACTGATAACTTGTGTTGAGATTAAAACCAGCACCATCTCTCTTACTTCATTTCCTCTCTTTGTCTTTACACTCAAAACCAAACTTTTTTTTTAAAGAGTTATTTATTTATTTATACAAGCACTGGGTACAGTCAGAAGCACGGGAGGGTGAGAGAATTCACCGAGCCAGAGTGGGGAGCAGAGCAGGCAGAAGGACCGAAGTACACTGCTGAGGGGAGCAGCGGGCGGCAGGAGAGGTCTGCGCGCCATGTGGGACCCTCCTCCGGTGGCCGGGGAGCAGCCGGGGATCGAACCGGCACTGCAGAGGCTGCGGGCAGCTTCGCAACCCAGTGCTCAACCACTGTGCCACCGGGGAGGCCCTCCAAACCAAACTTTCTAAATGTCTCTGAGCAATGCAGATCCCAGCATTCAAAGACAGGTTTACAGTAAAGTCAGGTAGTAATATTTTATGAGCCACATTAAGGTCTCTATTCCACGTTCATCTTCCTTTTCTTTCTTTCTTTATTCCATGTTCATCTTCCTTTTCTTTCTTTCTTTTTTCTAGCAACTCTTTACAAATGTTAAAAGTTTTTAGCATTTGGGCCAAATAAAAAGAGGCCAAAGGCAATAGCTTAAGGACCCTTGGTTGAGAGCTGTAGAAATACAGAGCCTAATATGCTTATTTTTATGTGTAGTGGGTGTTCGCCATAGGTTCTCTTGCTTAAAGTCCTTCAACAACATTCCTGTTCTCTTTGGGATATAATTTAGTTCTTTAACGCGGGCTGTGGCTCTGACTGGGCTGATCTAACTTCATCCAAAACAACTCTCTCTGCATGCTATAATCTTATTATCATTATTTCAATTCTTAGAATGCTTTATGCTTCCAGTTATCTGGATGTACAAATCTATCTGTTTGGGAAATTTTCTTTTCTTTTTTTAAGATTTATTTATCTATACAAGAGCTGGGGTACAGGTCGGAGGGGCAGGAGGGTGAGAGAATTCACCAGAGACAAAGCGGGGAGCAGAACAGGTAGACAGACGGAAAGCACTGCTGAGTGGAGCAGCGGGCGAGGCAGGAGAGGTCTGCCTTGCCATGTGGGTTTTTCCCTGGCCGGCAGGGAGTTGAACCCCCGCTACAGAGGCTGTGGACCGCTTCAGAGTGCTGCACTCAATCCGCTGCACCACCAGGGAGGCCCCTGCTTGGGAAATTTTCTTACTTTCTTGGCTGACTCCTCTTCACTCTACAAATTTCAGTTTAAACATTCATAATTCCAGGATAATGTCAGGTTTCCTATTACATGGTCCTATACCATCACGTACATCTCATTCATGACTCTTGTCACGAGCATATAGACTGGTCACAAAGTTCTTATGCATGAGATTATGTCCTATTAATGACTTATTGTATATTTTCTTTAAGTTGAGGATTTTGCTATTAGAAAATGATTTAATTGCTTCAACTGAGAGCAAGGAAGATGTCTGGGAAAACATGGAGACACATTAAAATCTGTGCAGAGAATTGGAGAAGACCATGCATAGGGACTCTGTGGTCACCATAGCTTGTTGGTCTTTACTAAATGTAGATGTAGAAAAAGCACTAATGCTAAATGTGTTGAATATTTAATTAAATAAATATCTAGTTAATAAAATAAATGTGTTGAATATATAGTTAATTAAATTAAGAAAATTTCAAATTGAAAAGCTACCTATTACTAAGCATTTCCTTTCCTATGTGTCATGAATTGTATCATCTCTAATTTTGATAACACCCATTAGAGGTAGAAATTATTATTCCTATTTTACATATGAAGAAATAGATGCTGGGGAAAGTTGGATTATTTTTTCCAAAGCCATACTAGCAAAAAGTGCTACAAGTCAAACACATGTCTATCAGATTTTAAAAATGAAAGGGATTACTAAACAAAATGGGTTTTAGTTAAAAAAAAAAATCACCGAATCAAATCTGGAAGTACTTTACATCCTTAAGTCTTGAAAAACCATCTAATTCTTTGTTACTAAGATGGTTGCTGAGCCTCCCTGGTGGCGCAAGGAGTTAAGCAACGCACTATGAAGCAATCCGCAGCCTCTGCAGCATGAGTTCAATCCCTGGTTGACCAGGGAGCAACCCACATGGCACAGCAGACCTCTCCTGTCTTGCCCGCTGCTCCCCTCAGCAATGCATTTCAGTCAGTCTGCCTGTTCTGTTCCCCACTCTGTCTCCAGTGGATCCTCTCACCCCCGCCCCCACTCCGTATCTCTGGCCTGTACCCCAGGCCATGCATGCATAAATAAATGCATGCATGCATAAATAAATCTTTAAAAAAAAAATGGTTGCTGAATCTAGACTCAATGATATCATCAGCACTAAGTTCTATGTTTAAATGTCTTTGCTTCTACCCTCTGAGACAGATTATCTCCAAAATTCAGTGCATCTCATCTCCAAAATTCAGTGCAAAGTTTGGCAAGGTTCTATCTACTTTTAAGAGAGAATGTGGTAAAAATGTTCCCGAGCTCAGCGCTGTGAAGCTGTCCACAGCCTCTGTAGCACCAGTTCAATTCCTGGCCGGCCAGGGAGATAACCACATGTCGGGGCAGACCTCTCCTCTCCCGACCCCTGCTCCCCTCAGCAGTGTATTTAGGTCCATCTGCCTGTTCTGCTCCCTGCTCTGTCTCTGGTGAATCCTCTCACCCTCCTGCGCCTCTGGCCTGTACCCCAGCTCTTGTATAAATAAAAAAAAAAATGTTACCAATATGTTCTATCAGTGCAACTAAAATAGTAAGCATTTTTAGAAAAGGAAACAATAAAATGAGCAAAGGCCAACTATTGTGATTTATATTCATCATTTTTTTAAAGATTTATTTTTTATTTATACAATAGGTGGGGTACAGGCCACAGGCGCCGGAGGGTGAGAGGATTCACCAGAGACAGAGTAAGGAGCAGAACAGGCAGACAGACCGAAAGCACTGCTGAAGGGAGCAGCAGCTGCAACAGGAGAGGTCTGCCGTGCCATGTGGGAATCTCCCTGGCCAGCCGGGAATTGAACCTGTGCTGCAGAGCCTGCAGACAGCTTCAAAGAGCTGCGTTCAACCCGCTGAACCACCAGGGAGGCCCTATATTCACCATTTTAAAGAGAGAAAACTTTAAGGCATAGCATGCTAAATATCAAGATTGCTTTTTGTTCATCACTCAGTGAAACCTGCAAGTTTCTAATTACAGATCAGTATGTCTGTGTTCTTTGTTGGTCCTAATCCAAAAACTTTGCTGTTTTAAAAACTGACTTATATTCTCATGTCAAATTCTGAATTTAGACACAAACATGGAGGTATTTCCCTTTTCTAAGAATAAGTTGGACTTAAGAAATTTTGCTGTTGCTTTTAACTAGCTATATCTTAGGTATCTTTTCTCTCTTGTGAGTATAGAGCTACTAGAGATTTTGATATATGGCAGAAGCCAACCTAAAAAATAAAAAACTTTTCTGTCTTCTATGTTAGTGCTTTCCCCAGATCTACAAATGAGTAATGTGGAGGCAAAAGAATAATTTGGAGGTTAAGACAATGTAAGTGTTAGCTGTCAGATAGTCCTAGATTCAGTTTCCAATTCTGTCACTTGCTAGCATCTATTCTAAGCCTCAATTTCTTTATATGTAATCATGACAATAATAGTACTTTCCTCATAGGATTGTTCTGAGCAACTGCATTTAAAGAACATGGAAGTAAGTAGGAACCCAAATGTTAGCTAGTAGTAGTGTTAATAATAATCAGGTACTAAACCACAAACTTCATGAAATCTAGCTGGAATTACATGGTTAATAAACCACATAAACTCTCCAAAATAACAAAAGGTTTGTTTTCAAACCAGTGATTTATATATAAAGAAATGCCCAATTACCTATGGTGCTGCTATTGATTGTGGAGTTTTCCTTTTTCTTTCTTCAGTTCCAAAAAAATTGATCTCAAGTGAACTTTTTAGACTCCATTCTTGTTCACTTCTCTAGCTCCTATGTTGCGCCATTCCCTATGCAGACTGGCAAGTATCATAGCATAACAGGTGACTTATGTTATTTTTAGATATTTGCATCACAGGTTTAAATAAAACCTTGTTTTAAAGCAAACATCAACTCAATTCTTGGCAGACCCTTAGCTGTATAAACTGCTAACTATATAAACATCTGCCTTTAAAGGTAGAAGTTCATCTGACTCTTTCATTTCTCTTCTTGCTGACCAATGTTATATTGAAATCATTTCTATTTCCCATTCAACCACCACATACCTGTAAATAAAGGGAAGAATTAGAGCCGTGGGACATCTTTTGCACCATCCCATCTTTTTGTAGGATGCATTCTTCCAAGTGAATCACATTTGGATGTTGGCTCTTGATACTGCTTAGTGCCCAGAACTCACGCAGGGCTAGTTCAACATTTTCAGGTGCATGGCATCGAATTTTCTTCACTGCCACCCGTGCAGAGGTCTTTCTGATGACTGCTTCATATACAACACCATAACTACCTCGGCCTACCTCCCGTATTAAATCGTACTTTGGCTGGCTACTCACCATCTTCAAGGTCAAGGTTTCTGGAAAAATCAACAAAGTGCTCTGTTGAAATTAAGTATACCTACTGGCTTATATTTCTTCTTATGAATGATTTAGTTATCATCTGTCTCACTGTTTACAGAGCTTGAAAGATATTAGCTATACCTTGAGGAAATCTAAATATTTTGATGATGATGACGATGATGATAATGATACTAATAATAAAGCAGCTAACACTTATGTAGGACTTACCAGGTATTGACTATTCCAAGCACTTTTTTAATATCAAATTCATTTAATCCTCATAACAATGTTATAAGGTAGATACTATTATGGTCATTTTATAGATGAGGAAATTAAAGGATGGAGAGTATCATACCCAAGGTCAAAGAGCTAGTAACTGGTGGACCTGAGGTTTGAAACCAGGCCATGTGGCTGTGACACCCATAATTTGAACCACCATACTACACTGCCTTCCTACACAAACTGCTCCAGAATGTCATTAATATTAAGCCCCCAAACTCAGCATTCTTATTTACTGATCATGAAAAAGCAAACAAAGCTACAGCTTCTCCTTAAAGCTGACATATACATAAAAACGCATAAAAACCAAAAACCCCTCAGAAATATAAACACCTGGCTTATGCATAGCTACTCAAAGTGAACGAAGAGCACATGTATAACAGAAAATGAGCTGTTTTTAGTCTTTAAAAGTAAACAGCCAAACTGTATTCCTCTTTTCATTGTTTATGTTCTTTCTTTATATTCTGAAATAAATGGAAATAAAATTTGTGGAGAAAAATGAAAAATGTCTTCTTAATAATAAAGCTACCTGGAAAACGGTTACCTTTTTCTTGGTAAACAGTAACTATTTAGGTCTAAATAATTTTTGCCATCAAAAACTGGCCTGTACATCAAGGGGCTCTCTGACAGGAATGCAAACTGCTAAATATTTAAAGGCAGGAGCAGAAGCCCTACAGAGAAATGCTCATGTGTAGAACCAAGACAGTCTAAAGCCTGCCTCCTCACTCTCGAATAATGTCAAGGTTCTAACGAGCTTCAGGAACGAGCCCTCACCTGGAGGGAGCCACCAAGAGCCAGAAAAGTAGCCTGGACAGTCCAGTCTTACATTGGACAGTTGGGGGCATAAAAAGCTACTAGAGCCCGAGCAGTGGAGGCCAGTTACTTTAAGCCCATAGCATAGTTTCATAAAGAAAATGAAAGCTTCCGAGATTCTTAGTCCCACTTCCTTTAACTGGACACCCACCCTTCAAATCCTTACTGCATTTCCTTGCGTCTGATTTCCTGCCCCAGAATCTTCTGTCCCCACTAGAGTAGACAGTGTCGCCTGCTCGCGGCGGATCGCCAATCACTATTCCTCTCAAAGTGGCTGGTCCTTCGCGGCAGTCCCATTCAGAGAGCACCCGGCCGAATAAGGGGGAGGGGGGTGTTTAGGAAACCCCTGAGGTATTGGATCAGAACCCCGCGCGGGGGGCAGCCCGCGCGAACCTAAGTGTCTCGGAAGGCAAGTCTCGGGCGTTCTCGCCCGCGGGCTGCTCGCGCCGGGGACGCGGCCGCCGTCCACCTGAGGGGGCTTGGGAAGGGCCAGTCCTGGGCAGAGGTGTGACCCGACGCGGCGCCGCAGAGCCCCGCTCATTGGCCAAGTATCAGGCCCTCCCCCTCCTTGCAGGGACCAGATGAAACCCCGAGGGGATCTTCTCGAGGCCCTGCACCCCGAGGAGCCAGCCCGGCAGAGGCGCTAGTTCCTCGCGGCCGGCGGCCAGGCCCCGGGCCCGCGCCGGAGGCCGCGGCGGGGGCCAGTGGCCTGAGGGGAGCGGGCCGGAGGCCTGAGGCGCGCGGGGCCTTCCGCAGTGAGACTCCGCTGACAGGTCCGTGACAGGCCTCCCGTGGAGAGAGGCGCACGCAGGGCCCTCGTCTCTGCAGCAGGGCCTCGCCGCCCGGCCGAAGGGCCAGATTTACCTCAGGGTAGCCGCCGCCGCTTCTCCCTCTCACGGGCTCTGCAGGCCGCCATTATCGGGCAGCTCGCGCCTCCGCCGCCGCAGCCTCCAGTCAGAGGCCGGCGCGCGCCCCCGTGGTGCGCGCGGACACACCCCCTTACGCCTCGCGGCCCCGCCCCCTCCGGCTTTCCGTAGCGCGAGCCGGGACGCCCCGCGCCTTCCTATTGGGCGCGCGCCCGGGGCCCGCGGCCGCTCCCCGCGCCGGTGGCTTCCAGGAGCCTGGAGTCGCGGAAGGTGTGCGCGCCCGGAGCGCACCACTCGCGCCGCTCCCCGCAGGGGGGGCGGGCCCGGGAGCGGGGCGGCCACCCCACGCCCAGGGCGCCGTCGCCCTCCAGCCGCGGCGGACGCGCTCGGCCCGCGACCCGGGGAGGGTCTGAGGCAGCCGGTCCGAGCCGGGGGTGCGCGCGCCCGGCGCGGTCCCCCCTCCCCCGCGGGGCCCCCCTCCTGCCTACCCTGCGGCGGGCAGGTGTGCGGAGGCCGGCGGGGTGGAACGCCCGCCGCATCGTCCTCGGCGCGGGCCTGGGGTGCCCGCGGGACGCGGAGCTCCTCGGCCGGCGGGCGGGCGGGCGGGGAGGCGGGGCGCGCGCGGGGAGGCCTGGCGGCCGCCGCGCCGGCACCGGGGCTGCACCTTTTGTCGGCGCCGCGGAGCCCTGTCTGCCGGCGGGGCGGGTGCCGGGGCGGCGGCGGCGCGGGGCTGGGGCGACCATCTGGAAGGCGCCGTCCCCTGCCCCGCGGCGCGGTGGTATCTCCCTTAAAGAAGCCGGCGCCGCTTTGTTCCCGGGCCGCGGCCGCGGGGAGTCGGGGGGCTCCACCCGGCGCGGGGAAGACGGGGCGGCGGCGCCCGGCCCTGGCCGCCGGCACCGCGGGCTCCTCGCCGGGTTGGGGACCGGCCCTTACGCCCCAGGCGGCATCCGAGCCGGCCCAGCCGGGGTACACAGCGGAGACGTCGGGGCGACGCGGTCAGCCGAGTCTTGGGGTCTCCAGACACCCGCCAGTCGGTTACCCGCAGCTTTTACCCGACGGCCGCCCCGGGCGCTAGTTACTCAGAGGCCCGCGCAACCGCTTATTCACGTAGTTGTGCGGGTCTGTAAACCTCCGCTAGGAACGTCCCTTCCCCCTTCGCTGATTTATTGTGCACCTGCTATTTGTCAGTAAAGGGGTTGTTCCACCTCCCAGTGCGGTGCAGGCTCGGGGTACAGGGACTCCCCGGCACTGCTCTCCAACGCCAAGGGCAACAAGATAGCCGTTTTATTTTTTGACCCCCTTTATGGATCTTCTCCCAAGAGTCTGTGGGTTAGACTGTACATCAATTATCACCCCAAATTCTAGCCATACTGCACAGCGACAGGCTTTTTCACTAGCCCTGTTTTTGCAGGTGAGGAAGCAGACCACTGCCAGATTTGATGGAAACGTGTCTGTTTTGGGGGGCGCCTGCCTTGAATACGCACTCCCCTGGTGTTAATCCTCCACCCCACCACCACCACAACCACCAAAAGGCTTGCTCTGTAATCTATTAAGACTTTTTCCCTGAGTGCCACCTACCAGCCGTCTGCTGGGCATACTGACTCCAGCCAAGACTTGGTTTCTGCCCTTTAAAGTAGAGGGAAAGTATGGAAGGCTCTGAGCCACTGGTGTGGGTAATTGGTCAGATCAGAGGAGGGGTATATATCTCTTTTGGTCTAAGGAGCCTTTTCTTTTTGCCTCTCTCAGCCATTAAATCTCTTCAGAATCCCTTTTCTCAAGCTGGCAACAAAACAGACTTGAACTCCTCCCCTGCCCATACCCCGCTTCCAAAGACTGTAAAGTCTGTGAAGTAGATGTTCATGTCTTGTGGAGCCTGAATCTTAAATAATTTGGAGTGACCTCCGTACGGAAAAGATTACAGAATGGTCCTGTGAACACATTGCTGGGGCTTGGAAAAGGGGCCCATGTGGTAACGCTGAAATGTAAACTTCCTTTAACATCAAGGTAAATCTGCCCCTGCTTATTGTAGTATTATCATTATTTGTTTGCCTGTAGGCTTATCCCACTGGACTGAGAGTTCCAGGAACCTTGTCTGTGATTCATCTCTGCAGCCTCCTCAAGCTGATAAGGTATCCAAATACACCCCGGGGTAGCATTTTCAATCATGTGACTTTAATCAAGGAAATTTGGCAATATATAGCCACATTATATATATATTTTCTTCACTCAGTAGGTCCTAGGTCAAATCCTAAACTTCTAGGAATCCATCTTAGAGATATATTGGAAAATCCAAAAAAAACCCTGTAAGCATAGTAAAAGATTGGAAACTGTTCACATCAAGAGAGAACTGGCTAAATTATAGTGCAAGTATAGGATGAGTGCTATGCAGCTGAAAGATGTTGAATTAATTAATCTTACATTAATAAGCATACACTAAGATAGAGTTGACAGCCATATACATTGTTAAGTAAAATTAGTAAGGTGCATAATAGTGCTTAGAGTGTGCTGGTTTCTGTGTAAGTGTTAGGGAGATATAAATATACATTAATCACATTTTAAAAAAAGATTTATTTATGCATACAAGAGCTGGGGTGGAGGTCAGAGGTGTGGGGGTGAAAGGATTCACCAGAGACAGAATGGGGAGCAGAACAGGCGGATCTATTGAAATACGCTGCTGAGGGGAGCAGCTTGAATTTAACACCAGGATTAACACCAGGGGAGTGCGTATTCAAGCCTGAATCTGAGTGCGTATTGTGGAGCCTGAATCTTAAATAATTTGGAGTGACCTCCGTATGGAAAAGATTACAGAATGGTCCTGTGAACACATTGCTGGGGCTTGGAAAAGGGGCCCATGTGGTAACGCTGAAATGTAGGCGAGGCAGCAGGCGAGGCAGGAGAGGTCTGCTGCCCAATGTGGGTCACCTGCCTGTCCAGGGATTGAACTCATGCTATAGTGGCTGCAGACAGCTTCCGCTTCATAGTCCCAAGACTTAACCCCTTGCACCACCAGGGCGGCCCCCTTAATCACATATTTTAAAGATAGTGGAACAATAAGCCAAGCTTCTAAAAATGGTTTTGTGGGCTAGATAGGACTGAAAATGAGACTTCTATGAATGTACTTTATAGTTACTGTTTTGGAATCTTGTGTTTTAAATATTTATGGAACAAAAGTCAATAAGAATAAAGCTGTCCATAAAAATTAAAAATAAATGGAAATAAATCAGCCATTTGTATGATAGATTGCTGGAATTACTACACAGAGAAAATAATTTCAAGGTTCTTTGAAAGTATTTTGACTAGATCTCTCTGATGGGATATAATCTAAGAACAATTAAGACAGCATGGAAGTATTAAATCGCATACATGAGTCTTACTGTTGGTTGTGATATTTATGTTGCTATTTTGGAACTGTAATAGATATATATTAGGATAATTATGTTCATTAATACAGAAACCAAGATATAAATATACATTAATATGAGGAAACGTTACAAGTATTAAAGAAGCTTAGGATAATCTTAGATCTGAATTAAATAGTGGTATGAGGTATCAATTTGTCTCTTAAAAATGCCTTTTCTGCCTGTCTCCTGAAAAGGCCTCAAGGCAATGGCCAATCCAGTAGTAATGAGCACCTCCAGTACACAGATTTGATTTCTAAATACCATTTTCTAATTCAAAGAATCAAAATCAAGATTCCTTGGATAAGTGCCTGTTTTCAGATGTGGAGCAGGAAAGATGAACCTCAGCCATCTTGTGCCTGGAAGCCAGGATGTGGCTATTTGGGTCCTGTGAAGTTGACTGAAGAACCAATACACAGGGACCCCACTGGCCAAAATGGAAAAAAATTTAACATGAAAAAGAAAAATAATGACTTCAGTAGATTACAACACATAAAATGTATACAAATCCATTAATTGATTAGAAAGCAACACATTTATTACTAATGGAGTTTTATAGGGAATCAACTACACTGAACTTTCTTAAGTGAAGGGAAATAATCAAACATTGTTATGGCCTTACCTTGATGAATTATATTCCAGGTAACCACATAGTAGAAAGTAAAAGAAAAATATTTCTAAAAAATGCAGAGGAAATGAGAGAATGAGAAAAACATGATCTCGTAAACCTTAGTGAAATAATGAACATGAAACGGACCATGAAATTGGGTGAAAAGTTGGGCTACTTTGTGGTGGAGAGGTGAGGCTGACAGGAGAGCCTAAACCCACTGACTAGTCGCTAAGTCACTTAGTCCTACAGTCACTAAGAGGGCAAGATAGTGCACTTTATGAAATATTCTTGCCTGAAAAAAAGAAAAAAAACCTAACCAAGCCAAGGTTTAATTACCAGTGTACTAAAAATATGGGGACTAGAGAAACAGCACAATCAGCCAAAATAAAAATGTGGTACATTCTACAGACGAGTTACCTGGTTTCTGCAATAAATTCATGGAATATGAAAATAAGGGAATGTAGAATGTTAAAGCATAAAACTCAAGATATTTATCAAATTCAAAAGGCTTATTAGGATGCTAATTCAAATAAGCCACTTGTTAAGAAATCGTTGGTACAGTCAGGGAAATTTGAACATGAACTCATAGATTAAATAAAGGAAATACTGTTCTTTTTTGCTAGGTGTGATGATGATGTAGAAAGTAGTAACCACATAGTTACTACTGTGGAAATAAAAACTTTTCAGTTAACACTGCACACTGATGTGGATAAAATGCTATGGGGTCTGGAATATGCTTTAAAGTATTCCACAAGCAACACAGCAAACAAAAAGGAGAGAAAAAAATGGCAAAATATTGAAACTTGGTGCGGGAAATATGGGCCTCATACTCTTAAGTATGTTTGAGTTTTCCATAATATAACCTTAGATAACACTGCTCCAAAACTATCGGCTGTGGGTGGGATCTTAGGTATGGCATTACTGACTCCTGGTGGCAGGTTCTGTTAGTGCAGCTGCTGCTCCAACCTGAGGCAGATCTGAATTCCGGACCTATCTATCATCTCGTTCGTTATAAATCTCACAAGAACCCTACAAAGTGGATAGCATTAGTATATTATTTTACAGTTGAGGAAACCAAGACTAAGAGGGACTCAGCAATTGAAGTTCCTAATAAATCACAGGTGGAGCCAAGACTACAGGTCCCAAGACCCTTAAATTGCTGTGTTTTCTGGACGTTATTTTTCCTATCTGAACAAAGGGGCTATATGGGAAAAGGCAATGGGGTTGCCTCTAGCCAGAATGAGTCCCCAGGCAACAGATCAGCAAGAAGTTTCACCTATATAGATAAGTAAATATAAACAGGGTAATATCAGTGTAAATAAACAATAGGTAATATCCTCCTTACCTGCTGTGCCAGGTATTGTGCAAAGTGCTGTTTTTACATATCTCATTTAATGTGCAGTTATCCTGAGAATAGTATTACATATACTGTTAGTCTAATGGCATGCTATTGCTAATGTCTAGTAGCATACTATTACACATACATTATACATACATACATAGTATAATTATTACTCCCCTTTTGCAACAGAGGACATGGATCTTCTAGAATATGAGTGGACTTGTCTAAAATCACCTAGTTAGGAAATGTCTGCATTGAGACTTGAACCCAGGCCTGATGACAAAATCTGTTTTTTTTTAAAGTTCACCTTCTTGAGAGAAAGTTTATCTACAATGAAATGCTCACTGCTCAAGTGTGTAATGCTGTGTTTGACCTTTAGTTACTATTGTTATATTGCATGTGGCACTTTAATATAAGTTAATTCTTTTCCTGGATAGTTGATTTGTTTTTTTCTAAGTAGGCATGGGAGCCATGAAAGAGAAAAAAATGGTGGTTGTGCAACCATCCCAGGCCGGGCAGGTTCATTGTTGATTCAGGCAGACGGAAAGAGAATTTTGGAGCCTTCAGTATTTCTAGCATACCTTTAATGCTGAATCAGGGGACCAGACACATAGGCAGGAAGGCAGGCAGGCGGCAACTGAGCCTCTTAGCCCCTGTGAGTCTCCCCTTTAGCCCACACTTGTCTGCCCGGGTGTCCGTAACCATAGGCCCATGTGCCCTGTGCTCGCAATCCCAAGTGCTTTTTGCAATAACACATTCTCGTGTGTGGGCACCGAAACCTAGGAGGAAAACAAGGCTGCAGGTGGCATCCGTAGAGGCTCATAGTGGGAAGGTGAAAAAACCCAAGCCACTCCATTTTCCTTGCAGTGGTCAAGGAAGGGAAGGTGGAAGGTAAGGTCGGGATTGAAGTTATGCCCAAACCTGGCCATCTTTTTGATGATTTCCTTTTCTTGTAGAACGGGATGGCTCCTTCTATTTTTATCTCCTCTCTTCTTTTAGATGAATAGCCATCAGGTTCTCTCAGCCATAGAGTTAAATGGGGCGATTTGCCTTTCAGGGGGTATTTGTCTATGTCTGGACACATTTTTGATGATCACAACTGAGAGAGTAGAAGCTACAGACATCTAGTGGCTAGAGACCTTGGATCCTGCTAAACATCCTACAAATCACAGGACAGGCCCCAACAATTAAGAACTAGCCAGTCCCAAATGTCAATAGTGTAGCAATTGAGAAATCCCCTGTAAGCAGCAACTGGAGACTTGCTATGCAAATATAGCTTCAAGGTGAGTCTTTTAGTCCCCTTTCCTTCCAGATTGCTGGCCCCAAATGCCTCCTCTGTAGAAAATCCAGGCGCATCACTGATGCTTTGTCAGGGACCTAATGTACTTTGAAGTCACTTCACCCTGGACCAGCCATAAAGCAGTGTCAGACTGTTACCAGATTCTTGAGGGTGACTGACTAGGCCTGACCAGGACTGACTATTTGGGGGCACAGCTCCTACCTTGTTATTATAGGGAGAATCCCCATCAGTATTCCCTCCCTTCTGCCCAAGTTGGGGGATCCCCAACCCCATCTCTGCTGGGAGAGACTGATCGAGAGACTCCTTCATGAAGAGACCCAGCTCTGACATGAACATGCTGTGTCACCTTGAACAAGTCTCCCTGCCCTGATCTCCATCTCCCCATTGTACAAGGAAGGGTAGGACCAGCATTCCTCTCTAAGAACCTGACCCTCCTAGCTCTGACCCTGATTCTTCTTACAAGTTCATTTCCCACAGAAATGTTGTTTCTGTTCCTTACACCTCTGCTGTGCTGGACCTGGAAGATTGAAACATTTCTGACCCTGCCCCCAGACAAGTGATTTAGGGGGCCAAGAAGGTCATGTGCCAGGCACAACTTCAGTTTTTTCGTCCTTGGGTGGGTCCTAGTGGTCTCCATGAGGATTAAGAACATTCACAGCAACTGGCAGTTGAGACCCAGCTCCACACCCCCTGCCCTGGCACCAAGAGCTGGGTGAGGGGTGTTCCCGGGGACCACCATGGTGGGTGAGGAGCTGAGGCTGCAAACAAGCCACACAGCATCTGGAAGTTAGGCTGCACGCAGCTCCCAGCAGGTACCGATTTGTTGAAGCTTGAGCTACCTCTGACCTCTCCTCTTCTGGAAACTTCACATTCCAAGGGCAGAAACCAGTTCAAACTCAACTTCGAGGGGATGGTTGGCACCTGTGCCGGGGAAGTACAGAGATGAGAGGACTGTCTTCAGAAGAGGTTTGATCCAGCAGCTTGCAAATCCTCAAAGACTTGGCTTCCTCTGTTCTACCTTCACCCTGCTGAGTTCATCTTAATGCTGGTCCCTCTCCGGGGCCCAGGTCAGCACTGGCCTGGGCACTTAGCCTTATGAGTCTGGTTCCCACAAAAAGGTTGTTTCTGTTCCTCAAATGACAGTCCTTGAACTGAATCTTTTTGGATCTGCTTGATTCAGCTGGACTCACAGGCCGTTCCTTGGCCAGGCTCCATGTCCTGGAGAATGGGGTTTGCTGACTGATTTAAATATGGAAGTTGGGGGGCGGTTAACTCCTACACATACCCCTCCTGAAGATCAACTTGCGCTGGCACATGGGGGGCTCTTGATTCATGAACTCAGCAGCTGTTTAGTGAGTACCTACTGTGTGCAAGAAACTATACTAGATACTGGTGAAAAGCAGACAAAGACAGTTCCTTGACCTCGTAAACTGCACAGGAAGACACTCCCTAGGCAGGGAGTACAGTATCATCAATGCCAGAAGGGAGTTACATGATCGCAGAGAAGGGGACCCTGTATTGAAGATGGAGTGGGGGACCAGAGAAAGCTTTTCAGAGGAGGTGGTATTTAAATTAAGACTCTTGGACACTCCACACTGACATTCTTTGAATATTTGATAAATGGCTATTTAGAGTTGGGGCTGAGTGCTGTCAAGGAAAGGGCAAAAGAGGAGGCCCAGGAAACCAGGTAACTTCTTCACAGTCCTGAGCAGTTTGGCCCTGGACAAACCTGCAGACCCCACATGGCAAAGCAGAAAGACCAGCCTATCCAGTGTGGCATGAATAATATACCCCCTTCCCACCCCCTGCCCCCAAAACCTTACTCATGTTTTCCTTCCAACAACATGTAAACTCTCTCTGGGAGCGGTGCTGGGGAAGAGAATCTTCCCCAGTGAGTAAAAGCATGAGAGCGAGGCACCCTGACAGACTCTGGGGATGTGGCCACACGCACAGGACGCTCACGGAGTTGGCCTTCTTACTTTGTCCCCGATAACCTTGGAAAGAGACACACAAATACAGCCGTGGCAAGGCTATGAGGAAGCAGCTCTAGTGGCCACGAGACTGGTCAGTGGGCCGGGAGAGGAGGTAGCAGGGGACATGGAAAGGTGCTCTGAGCAGGTGACCTTTCTGCTAAGAATCAAACTGGTGAGTGGCCATTAGCCAAGTGAGCGGTGGAGGGAGGGGCACTAAGGGGAGGCATCTCAGCTTCTCCGTGAATTGAGATGGAAGTTTCAATCAGGACTTGGGTGAAATCGGCAAGGGCAGAAGCTGTCAGCTCCATGGGGGTTAGATCCAGTGGCCTCCAGTCTGTCATTTTCCATCGGAAAGGCCAATATCTTTATCTCTCTATCTGTCTTGACTCCCATTTGAGGTGTGATGATCAGACTTAAAATCCCAACACAAGGTAAGGCTGGAACTTGAGGGTTGTGTAGACTATGTGATGGATTTTGAGGTAAAAGTCATGTCATCAAACTTTTAAAAAACTGGTAAAATACAAAATTTAACATAACAGAAAATATATCAGTTTATTTTATCCATTAACACCAATTAGTGGTTCCTAGAAGGGAAAGGAGTAAGACGAGGGTGTAAACTGAGTCAAAGGAGTCGGTTGCATGGAGGAAGGGGTTGGACTCCCCAGTGGTGAACTTAATGTAGAGTATATGCAGGTGGGTTTTAATGACGCACAGTTGGATCTTACCAGCGGTTATCATGCAACTTTATCTTTTAAAAATACAGCTTTTGGGCCTCCCCCGTGGCATAGCAGTTGAGCGCTGGGTTGGGAAGCTGCCCGCAGCCTCTGCAGCGCCGGTTCGATCCCCGGCTGCTCCCCGGCCAACGGGCGAGGGTCCCACATGGTGCGCAGACCTCTCCTGCCGCCCGCTGCTCCCCTCAGCAGTGTGCTTCGGTCCTTCTGCCTGCTCTGCTCCCCGCTCTGGCTCTGGTGAATTCTCTCACCCTTCCGCGCTTCTGACTGTACCCAGTGCTTGTATAAATAAATAAAATAAATAAATAAAAATCTTAAAAAAAAATACAGCTTTTTTCATTTGTAAGTGTACATTGTACAGTGGCATGAAGTCCGTTCACGGTGTTTGCAGCCATCTTCAGAACTTCCTTATCTCAAACTGAAACTCTATACCCGTTAAACAATAACTCCCTGTTCCTTCTCCCCTGCCCCTGGCAACCACAGGTCTATTTCTGTCTCTAGGAATCTAACTATTCTAGGACCTCCTCTGAGCAGACCAAAGGGTGTTTATCCTCCTGTGCCTGATGTTTTTCACTTAGCCTCAGGTCTTGAAGGTTCAGCTACTGTTGTAACATGTGTCAGAATTTCTTCATTGTTAAGGTTGAATGAACTTCCATTGTGTGCAAATACTACATTTTGTTTATGCGTTGTTCTTTCATCACAAAGGAATTTAAGTAGAGATCTTAAACATGATCAGATTTCCAGGTTCCAGGTTCACTTAGCTGCCAGGTGGGGATTCGACCGGGGGTGGGGAAGAGGGACATGGAGAAGGCCATTGGGGAGGAGGATGGTCTGGACTAGGTGGTGGTGTGGAGATGGGGGTACGTAGAAAACAGAAGGGCAGGTGGGATATTGCGAAGGACCCCAGGGTTTGGGGAGTTCGTGTTGGCGAGAACGCATCCTCAAGGAAGGCTGGACGGAAATCAGTTTTCCTCAAGGTCTCAGAGTTGAGGAAGTATGTTAAGCTGAAGATCCAAGGGCCCTGTCTCTACATCTCAACAACTCTGCTTTCTGGGGAACCCAGACTGAGCCACCAAGAAGCCTTCTCCTTGTGTGGCTTCCCAGTGGCCTTCACAGAGAGAGGATACCCTGTCTTCTTGAGTGAAGGGGCTCACATCCCCATTGCGGTCAATTCCTAGGTTGGAATCTGCTTTATGATTCACTAAGACTCCATGGCCCGGTTATGGTTTATCCATTGCTGAAGGGTGCATCCTTCAGAGAGAATATCCCAAGAAAATGGAGTGAATTCGTTATGTTAGATGGTGGGATTATAACTATAGGAGATAATTTTTTAAAGTTTCCTTGATGACTCTCTTATCATTCTGTATGTGACATCATTTGGGGGTAGCTGCTGACACTAAGTGAACTGACAGTGATTTTACACCAGGCTTTCCACTCACAGAAATACATACTTTATAACTCCTTCAATTTTCACAACAACCCTATGAAGAAGGCATTTGTTCCTATTTTACAGGTGGGGAAACTGAGGCACAGACTGCTTAAGGACCTTTAGCAAAGCTACAAAGCCTGAAGTGGCAAACCCGGGAAGGAGGCCCAGCTGCAGCCTATCTCCAGAGGCCGCAAGCTTAACCACTGCGCCACACTGCCTCTCCAGATGTTGGAAGCCTAGATCAAGGCCTTTGTGACTGTGAGTCCTGGACAAATGGGTCCTTGGTCTCCTCTCCCTGTGACTGACCCTGTCTCTGGGAAGGCCACAGTAGTCAAGCACCTGGAAGGAGTGAAGAGGAGTGAGGGACTGAGACCCAGAAAAAGAAGAGAATTGTGATTGAAGCCTGCTCAGAGTAGGGCCCTGCTTCTCAGTTAGGAACAGTGCTCCCGCCACCCAATTCCCTACTTCAAAAGTCCAGGAGGGCCCCTCTCTCCCTCTCTCAGGCTGGCTCTGGCCCTGACCCCTGGGGCTGTAATGGACTGGCCAAGCAGCCCAGTCCTGCCCTCCATGGGAAAGGCGGCTTCCTGGAAGCTTACCCCCTCCTCCATGCTGTTCCAGTCCACACTGTTCCCGGAAGTTAAAGAAACTGGGCCACAGTGTTGGAGCGGGGTGCCCTTCGGGAGGCGTGCTGCTGGCAGGTGGGATGAGGGTTCTCGTTCCAGCCACTTGCTCGCTGTGTGACCTGGGGCAAGTTACTTGACCTCTCACGAGCCTCAGTTTCCCTGTATGTAAGATGGAGACACTAAACATACCTGAAGGTGTTGAACAGGACATCATGGGGGATGCTTTTGGCACCGTGACCTGACACCCTCCAACACTCAAAACAGTGCGGCTGCAGTCATGGTTATCATCCTCACAAGCATGAGCAGCTGGGAGGGATGGGCCGAAAAGACACTCAAACGGGGCTGCCAGGAGGAATGCCCTTCCAATCAACATGAGTGTCAGAGCTGTTATTAATACCCAGCCAGCCCCACCAGCTCCTGGCTTAGCATTCCACAGATGAGGTGCAGAGGTAGGAGGGTGGGGCTGGAGAACAGGTGGCTGAGGGCCGGAGAGGGGACCCTCCCTCTCTGTGGGAGCAGCCCTTCCCCGCAGGCAGCACCCGGCCCCTCTCCTGCCAGCAGCCCCACCTGCAGTCTAGGTCTAGTCTAGTCTAGATCTGGGAAGGTGCGAAATTCCTGCGTGAGGTCCTTCTCCAGGCTGTCAAATTCTCTGGCCCGTAAGGGCACACAGCACTGTCCTTCGGGGACCCAAGGTCCAAGCAAACAGGGTCCCCCAGTTGGGGACCTGCCAGTAGAGACAAATCTGCCAGTAGAGTATCTGCCAGTAGAGACAAATCAACTTATGACATTGAGCAATGTGGAAGGTAGAGGGGGGCCTTAGGGACCCCTGACCTACCCTTATGACCTAGAGCTCAGCACAAAGCATGTGCAAAGGCCCTGAGGTGGGTGCTATAGACAAGACATTCAAAACCAGCCAGAAGAGGAACTTGAGCAGTTGAAAGTTCAGAAGTCATTTCAGACGGTCTTGAGCAAAGGGCTTTTCCTTCCACCCCATGCTGATCTTTCTTCCAAGTTGAGCTGTACTTTTCCATCTGTTTGCTGGTTGACCCCACAGAGAAGTCACTTCAAAGTCATATGTTGTCTTCAACCAGCAACCTATCTCCAATTTTACTGCCAGCTGGTTGCTAAGTTCCTTGATCCTTCCTCATGCTCACATTTCTGGCCCTTCATCGGCAACTTCCCTAGACCAGAGGGGCAGTCTGTGGCACTGCGTTGCAGTGGACAATACACAGCAAGAATTTTGCAGGTGTATAGACCTGGACCCAAAGCCCAGCTCTGCCTTTCAGTTAACTTCCCTGGGCCTTGGTTCCCTGATTTCGAAGGGGAATTCTCTCTTGTCGGTGCTTGGGGAGTGAAATGAAGTGATGCAAGTGACAGCAAGTGGCCCACAGTAGGTGTTTGATTAATGGCTGTGCCTTGCCTGTGCCTGCTAGTCTTGAGAAACTCTTGTTTTCTTTCTATCTTGTTTCTTCATAAGTGGGAAGCAGAGAGATGGTAAAGACTTAGGGTAACCGATGGCTCCCTAAATATTTCTCTGGGGGAAACAAATCCCCAGTTATCCCCTTTTTAAAATATTTTAAGCAGATACTTAATTTGTAATCATCATACTAGCCGCTAATTGAGATTTCCTACATGGTGGTTATTGTGCTAAGTGCCCTCTCTATGCTCTCCTCTTCCATCCTCATGACAATACTAAGAAGGAGTTTATAATTTTCCAATTCAGGAATCAGATTCAAATTAGTGACATGACAAACTTAAAGTAACAAAAGTAGTTAAGGGGTAAAAGAAGGATTGAGCCCACGTTTTTCTCACACCCAAACTCAGTGTGCCCGACCACTAGGCCATCCTAACTCACAGCCCATCTGGCACCATTTTTCATTTCCTGGGTGACAGGAAACCCAGGGAGGTGAGCATTTTTCTCAGAGCCCCATAATGGATTGGACGTTAAACCAAGCCATGGCGGGCCTGCCCCCGGATCCCAAACTTGCCCCAGTAGAGCAAATCAGGAGGGCTAAGATCTCAGGGTGGCCCAGATCTTCCTCCCTGAGTTGGAACACCTCCCCTCAGCAACAGAGCCATAAACACAAGTGGTTCTTTCAACGGGACACTGAACTGAACCTGAGTCACTGAGTATTTATAGATGCGCCTCCTCCTTTCTTCTCTGCTTTGCCAGGATTTATCCGGTTCACTTGGGACTCAGAGGGTGACAACCTGTTTATCATCTAAGGTGCCCAAGCACACTGTTGGAACATCCTCTGAGAGCAAGGTCTGGAGGCCTGCCCAGGATTAGACCTGATCTGACCCCCCCACCCCCAGATTGAGGCGACTCTCCGTAGCCCGGTTTTTTATACTTTCTCCTAAACAGCCCACTCCACATGCGTCTCAGGTTAAAATGAAACAGAAATACGTCTGTCAGGAAGACCTGAGAGGTTAAAATCTCTCTAGCACCACTGATCTTAGGAAGTAAACCCTCTTATTGGTCAGGAAATTAAATTATCTTCTATGTGCCTGATAGGCTGACTTTTAACATTACCTTTTAAAATCCTCATGATACTTTTGTAAGTTGGCTATTAATTCGATGTCATCATTATAATTGAGGTAAAAATAACTTGCCCAAGATCACATAGACAGTATATAACAGGGTTAGAGTCAAGATCAAGTTCTTCCTTGGTTCCGGATTCCAAGCTGTGGGTGACCTTGGGCAAGTTACTTTCCCTCTGAGCCGCAGTTTCTTTTTCTGTAAAATGGAAACAGCTTTCAAGTGTAACGACTGAATAAAACTCAACAGTATGATGCCAACCACGGATGGCTGCCCAACCCCAACACTCGGTAAATTAGTTTATTTTAAGCTGTTTAGGACCATCAGCCAGGTCACATCTGGCTCAAATTTCAGGGACTTGAACCCAGGACCCAAGCTGTTCCAGCCGCCATAACCCCACTGCCCCACCCTTTTCTTCTTCCCACTAGCAAGACTTCCTGTCCTGCATGACTCAGAACCCAGGGGCTGGGACAGTGACAGGTGGAGAAGGAATTAGGGGGGTCAGGGGTGACTGTATGCAAAGGAGCAGGAGAATGACCAGACTTCACTCCTGAGATCTATTTTGGGTGGTGCCAACCTCCAGGTTGCCAACAGCTGGAGCTAGCCTGAGGTGTCAGTGCTGAGTTAACAGAGCGGACCCTGGAGCCAGATTTAGTGGTTGAACTCTGGCCCCCAGCTGTGTGGCACAGCTGCTGGCACTGGCCAGAAGCTACTTTTATAATTCCTGGTAGGTTGGGGGCTTCTGAGGTTCTGAGCTTTGTAAAGACCCTGGACTGGGTTTTTGAGTCTTTGCCTAGTGATGCCTCCTCTTCTCTGCCTTCTTCACTCCCTCTCCAGTCCAAGGCCCATCTTCTAACTTGAGGTTCAGACATTTCTTAACTTGGGGTTCAAGGGCCCATTGTTCTGTTTGCCACTTGTGTGGCCTTGGGAAAATTGCTTAATCTTGGAATCCTGATCTAGAGATGGAGATAATCATACCTACCTCATAGGATTGTGAAAATTAAATGGGGGACCCTAGGTAGGACTGTGTCCCTCTCCTTTGGTGCACCCCCCCTTACTGAGGCCCCCGAGAACAGGGATACTTCCCCTGTCCTCTCACCTCCAGACCTTGACCTGGCTGTTCTAGGGGGTTTTGAGATTACTTCCCTCTCACAGTGTTTCCAGAAACCCTGATCCTAAGTCCCCTCTGGCTTGCTGGCCAGGGCCCAACTCTGTTCAGCTGTAGAACAAAAATCCTGCTGGTGAAAGGAGCTAGGGAGGAAGGGAAGGGAACCACAGCTAATACAGAGTCTGCACATTCATACCTAGCGTAGGCTGCACATAAACTAATGACCTGTTTCCTTTAGACTAAAATGCTTGCTTTGAACTGAGATTCCTGCCCTGATAATGCTTCAATGAGTATTGGACATTGACACTATCAGGAATTAGCCAAGCTCACCAGGCCTTGTACCAAGGTCAAGATAACTGGGAAGCTGATGACAAATTCTAGGGACTGAATGTAACAAGTACCAGAAACATCAACAATGACTAACTGTTCTAGTGGAAGACTTACTTATAATCAACTGTCTGTTTAATTCATTATAAAAAGGCCAACTTGAGATAAGATAGAAGAATAGTTTCTTCAAGAGGGTATGTCCGCTGTTCTCTCAGATTGCCGGCAATGTGAAAAATAAAGTGCTTTTTATAGATTAAATTCATGTCTCTGCTCATTGGCATTTGCAGTGACGGGCTGTAGAATTCGGCCATTTCCAGTAACAGTGGAAAGTCTTCCGTAAAGAGTCCCAGTTCCTTGAGTTCTAATCCACTTTTTTTAAAAAGTGACTTTTTTAAAAAAGTGACCTTTTTTAAAGTAAGGATTCCTTCCCAGCCATTTTCTGTGCTTATACAACAGTTTGGATATGTAGGTTTACAGACAGACAGACATATATTTGTCAATGGGATTACACAATAAATAGTGTGTAGTTTTCTGTTTGCTCCTAACAATCGATTATTTTTATCTCATGTGGGTACTCAATACAGAAAGCTCAATGTCAGGTTTTTCAAATTGAAGGAATATTTATGTATATATTTTCTTTATGTGTGGCTAATTGGAATGCTTATTGGGGTATGCTTTTGTTTCAGTAAACTTTTTTTTTTAATCACTATTTTTCTTTTTCTTTTTTAATTTTATTTTTATATTCCCCATACAATTGCAACCCCCTTATTTTGACCCCAAACCCTCCTTTCCCCGTCCCCCCCCCCATAGTGTATCTCTGGTTCATAGTTGTTTGTTGATTTTGATTTTTTCTTTCTTATAGTTATTCTTTTTCCTGGTCCCTTATTTAAGTTTTCTAGATTCCTGCTATGAGTGAGACCATCCGGTACTTTTCTTTTTCTTTCTGGCTTATTTCGCTGAGCATGATCCCTTCCAGCTCCATCCATGTTGCTGCAAATTGCATGTGTTTATCTTTTTTGAAGGCTGAGTAATATTCCATGGTGTATATGTACCACATCTTCTTGATCCAGTCATCTGTTTTTGGGCATTGGGGTTGTTTCCAAAGCTTAGCTATTGTAAACAGTGCTGGTATACACATAGGGGTGCAGGTGCTCTTTGGAATTGATGTTTCTGTGTCCTTTGGGTAAATACCTAGGAGTGGAATTGCTGGATCATATGGAAGCTCTATCTTTAGTAGGTTGAGGAATCCCCACACAGCTCTCCATAGTGGTTGGACCAGTTTTTCAATAAACTTTTAAAATATAATAGACACTCAGAACAGTGGACAATTCATAAGGTAGAGTTTGAGGCATTTTCACAGAGTAAGTCTGCATAGCCCACCCCAAGGTCAAGAGCCAGCCCATTACCATCAAGTTCCAACATCCCTTTTCAGCCCCCCAGCCAGGGATAACGCTATCTTGACTTTCTATAGACAGGATCATAAAATATGTGTTCTTTTGCTCCACATTCTTTATGAGGTTTATCTCTGTTGTTGCCTCTGGCAATGTTTGCTTATTTCTTTTTTTTTTTTTTTTTAAAGATTTATTTATTTATTTATGCAAGCACTGGGTACAGTCAGAAGCGCGGGAGGGTGAGAGAATTCACCAGAGCCAGAGCAGGGAGCAGAGCAGGCAGAAGGACCGAAGTACACTGCTGAGGGGAGCAGCGGGCGGCAGGAGAGGTCTGCACGCCATGTGGGACCCTCCTCTGGTGGCCGGAGAGCAGCTGGGGATTGAACCGGCGCTGCAGAGGCTGCGGGCAGCTTCGCAACCCAGCGCTCAACCACTGCGCCACTGGGGAGGCCCCAATGTTTGCTTATTTCATTTTTATATAGTATTCCCTCTGTGACCAAACTATTTGTTACTTCCGTTGATGGCCTTTGGGGTTGTTTCTCAGGTTTGCTACTACAAACAATATTACAAAAAGCAACCTTGTATGTAAAAAGGTCTCTATCTGACTGTATATCTCCCTATCCAAGTAGTTAACTATTTTTTTCCCATCATCTGTCCAGCTTTTGGTAAGGTAGATTCCTTGGAATATAATTGTTGAGTCACATGTGTAAATATTTTACATTTTGATTTTGACAAATTGTGCCCCCACCCTCCAGGTCAAGAGTAGAAGCAATGCCCATTGCCCTACACCTTTACCAACCTTAGGTATTATTTATCTTTTAAAATTTTTGTCAGTCTGATACAAGAAAAATCAGATTTTATTCTGGTTATAATGAGTTTTTTTTAATCAGGGAGGATAAATGTTTTGTTTTGGTTGCTTTTGTTTTGGGGGAGGGGGCGTTGGCATTTATTCTTTTGGGAATCGCCTTTTGTTGCTTTTGCTTGTTTTTAAAACTTTAAAGTATTATGGGAATGGACACTTGGTCTTTGTGTGTGTTTCTACTGTTTTCTCCAAGTCACTTGTCTTTAGGCTTTGGTTATGGAACAACTGCAGGTTTAAATATAGTTTGTTTTCCTTCTGCTTACTGTTTATGATCTGGATATCCCAAGGGTGTGTGTGGCAAACCCCAGGTTGAAGCTGGTGGGGGTGGGGAGTAGCAAGCCAGGTGGGGTGGGCAACTGGTCCCCAAAGACTCTCTCTGGGGTACAAGCACCAGGAAATCTGGGTCAGCACAGAGCCCCTGGGCACTGAATTGCAATGAGGCTTTCTTCAGTACCTTTTTCCAGTGTTCCTAGTTCCACTGGGTGCAAAGTCAGGGCAGAGTGTCTCCCTACTTCCAGGGGCCCGGCAGGGATCAGGATGAGCCAGGGCCAGTGTTAATGCGGCAGTTGAGGGAGGGAAAATTTAAGAGGAAGGGTGAGTAAGCCAACCCTCTAAGTCCAAATCCTTAACTCTCTGAGTTCAAGGCCTGTCTTAGTAAGCTTGGGCTGCCGAGACAAACCAACACAGGGTGTTATTGAAACAATAGAAATTTATTTCCCCCAGTGCTAGAGACTGGGAAGTCCAAGATCAGGATGCTGGCCTGGTAAGTTTCATTCTAAGAGCTTTGTTTTTGCTTTGTAGGTAGCCACCATCTCCCATGTGTGCACACACGGTCTTTTCTCTGCATATGTGTGTGAAGAGAGAGAAAAGGTAGGTTCTCTTGTGTCTCTAAGGGCCCTAGTGCCATTGCACCAGGACCCCAACTCACGACTTTTCTAACCCTAATTACCTCCCAAGGGCCCCATCTCTAAATACCATCACATTGGAGTTAGGGCTTCAACATAATGGATTTTGGGGACACAGATTCAGTCCATAACAATGCCTTAGACCATTTCCTGGTAGTGTAACCTTAGGCAAATTGCTTAATCTCCCTGCAACTCAGTTTCCTCGACTGTGAAATGGAAATGGTAACAGTATGGACCTAATATATTAGTAAAGAAATCTATAACTCTTAAATGCTCAGAACAGAGTATGATAGGCAGCCTCCACGAAAATCCTCAATAATGTTTTTCTCGGGGCCTCCTAGGTGGTGCAAGGGGTTAAGCACAGCACTTTGAGTCTATGTACAGCCTCTGCAGCACGAGTTCAATCCCCGGCCAGGAAGCTACCCACATGGCGCAGCAGACCCTTCTGTCTCACCCGCTGCTCCCCTCAGCAGTGTATTTCAGTCAGTCTTCCTGTTCTGTTCCCCACTCTGTCTCTCGTGAATCCTCTCACCCCCCTGTACCTCTGGCCTGTACCCCAGTTCTTGTATGCATAAATAAATAAATCTCTAAAAAAATAATGTTTTTCTCCTGGTATTCATGTCCTTGTGTGTTCCCTCCCATACTGTATCAAGTTTGGCCTGAGTGACCCATAGAATATTGGAAATGATAGTGTGTGATGTTCAAGGCTAGATCGTAAAAGACATTGCCCTTTCTATCTTCTCCTTTAGCATGACTACTCTGGGGAACCCTGCCACCATGTTACAGGATGCTCAAGGGGTCTATAAGCCAAGAAACTGGGGGGGTTCCAACTAACATGCCAACCATGTGGGTGTGAGGTACCTTGGAAGTCCAGCTCCCATTGAGCCTTCAGATAAACTGAACTGCAGCCCCAGCCAACATCTCAACTACAATCTCCCAAGAGACACTGATCCAGAACTTAGCTGCTCTTGAATTCCTGACTCTCACAAATCATGTAAGATAATAAATGTTTATTCCTGTTTGCAGCTGCAGTGTTTTAGGAAAATCTGTTTTGCAGCAAGAGATAATACACAAACCATGGGTTATCCAGAGGAGCTCTCCAGTCAAAGCCAGCTTGTGTTAGCCCTCGATGGTGAAAATATTAATGACAGTGTTTGTTGAGGGTCTGTCACGTGCCATGTGCTTGACAAACGTACTCCCGCCTCTCTGCCATTCATTTTCACAAGGGTTAGAGTGTTGGGGCAGACAGGTGTCCAGACCCCTAGACTTTCAGAGCTAGAAAGGCCTAGGGGATCCTCCCTCTACTAACTCTCATTTACAGATGAGGAAACTGAGAAGCAGAGACTAAAGGCCACTGGCCAACGTAACAGAGCTGGTATGTGGAGAAGCCTAGTCTTGAACTCAGACCCGCTAGTCGACAGCAGCCCATTTGTTGTACTCTCAGTTCCTAATAGGAAGAGTTTATCGCATCTCTGAGTTTATAAAGCACCTCAATATGTTTTCCCCACAGAATCATCAAAATAGAGTCCCCTCCAGACCCTGTGTCCCCTGGGGCAGTCCTTTTTTCTAATGGCCACCCACTCCCCAGAGCCCTGTGACTGTCCACAGCAGTCGTCTGGGCCTGACCGAAGACTGGCCTCTGAGCGAGGAGTTCCCAGGATACTCTACTCTTCTTCCATGGCATGTGGGCCACACCCAGTGGGCTTTGCCCTGGCATCTGGGGCACCGCATCATGCCCTAGACCCCACAAACATGCCTCTGCCAACTGCTCTGGTTTAGCCTCTGGATCAAATGACCCATTGGTCTGATCCTGTGATTCAGGATGATTCTTGGATGACCCTGAAGCACGGGGATAGGGATCTCAAACTGTTTGAAAGAAAAACAGTCCCCAGCCTCCCTCCCACCCTGAGGCCCCCAGGCACAGAGGCTGAAAGGGGAAGTCCAGAGGAAGAGGTAGGGCTCGCCCCACTCTCCCCTGGAGGGCATGGGAGAACAGCACACTCATTGGGAAAGACCTGCCTGTGATGTACCAAGGAAGAATTTAAACAAGACGGAGTTTTGTGGAAATGAAAGAAGAGGAAGACTTTCTCTCCAGCTTCACTGGCCCCAATCCTGCATCACTTGGGGGTAAGAGTACCTTCAAGAACCAAGCTGCTGGGGAGGGGGAAGCTCCCCCGGGGCCATCTTTAACGGTTGCTCCATTTGGCGGATGAAGAAACCCAAGGAGGGCATTGCTTGCTGGGTGTCACATTTCTTGTCTCTGGCAGAGCTGGAGGTGGGGCCCAGATGTCCGGGCCTCAGGCCAGGGTTGTCTCCCCTAACCAAGAGGCCTCAAAATCTCAGGTTTCTGAAAGTCCCCTCTCTAGTGACAATCAAAAAGAACATGGACCTTGGGGTTAAATCAGTCTCTTCCAGCCCAGCCTATACTAGCTATGGGACCCAGGTCAACTCCATAATGCCAATATGTGCCTCAGTTTCCTCATCTGTAAAATGGGAATAAATAAGATGTATTCATAATTGCTGTGAGGAGTGAATGAAATGGTGTCGTGAAGCTCCTAGTAGATGTCCAGCCACTTGCAAGCAACAAATCAACCAAATTCAAGAATTCTAATGATTATTACCTTCCATCTCTTTTTCTTGCCAGTCCCTTTCTCCCTGCTGCTTTGCCTGCCTCCTACCCAGCTGGGATCCTCCCAGGCACCAACACTCCTCCCGCTAGTAACACAGACTTTGAAGCAATCCCAAATGCTGAGTGTGTGTCCTGAGCTGGGTGACATTCCACCAGTCACTTAGCCTCTCTGAACTTCAGGTCCTGATATGTCAAAATGAGAATTGCCAAACCCATCAGCATTCTTCGGCAAATCAGTGGCACCAAGAGCAAGAGGGAAGGCCATCACTGTCCATGAAAGGAGATTGAAGAAGGGGTCTCCCTGGTGGCGCAAGTGGTTAAGACACAGCACTATTAAGCAATCCGCAGCCACTGCAGCACGAGTTCAAGTTCGATCCCCAGTCAGGGTGCTAACCCACATGGTGCAGCAGACCTCTGCTGACTCGCCCGCTGCTCCCCTCAGCAGTGTATTTCAGTCAGTCTGCCTGTTCTGTTCCCCACTCTGTCTCTGGTGAATCCTCTCACCCCACACCTCTGGCCTGTACCCCAGCTCTTGTATGCATAAATAAACAAATCTTCAAAAAAAAAAAAAAAAGGAGATTGAAGAGACAAATCAAAATGCCATGTGCAAGACCTTATTTGGATCTGATTGGACAAACTAGCTGTAAAAAGTCACTTAAGACAACTAGTGACCTCTGAAAAATGGTTTGGAAATTAGATAATATCAAGAAATTCTGGGCCTCCCCGGTGATGCAGCGGTTGAGCACTGGGTTGCGAAGCTGCCTGCAGCCTCTGCGGCGCCGGTTCAATCCCCGGCTGCTCCCCGGCCACCAGAGGAGGGTCCCACATGGCGCGCAGACCTCTCCTGCCGCCCGCTGCTCCCCTCAGCAGTGTACTTCGGTCCTTCTGCCTGCTCTGCTCCCCGCTCTGGCTCTGGTGAATTCTCTCACCCTCCCGCGCTTCTGCCTGTACCCAGTGCTTGTATAAACAAAAACAAACAAACAAATAAATAAATAAAAACATGCCTCTATTAAAAAAAAAAGAAAGAAATTCTTGCTATTTTGATGAGGTATGATAATGGCATGCTGATTATGTTCAAAAAGTCCTTATTGGTTAGAAATTCTCACTGAAATATTTATGGATGAAATAACTTGATGTCTAAGATTGGCTTTGAGATATTTCAGAAAAAACATGTGAGGGGGTTGCAGATGAGACAAGATTGGGGAAGCATTGATAAGAGTTGACATTGGTTTGGTTACATGAGTTTGTTACACTATTTTCCCCTCTTTTGTAAATTTCACATTTTCATGAATAAACAGTAAAAATGAATAAATGAAGAAACTTGCAGATGGGGTAGCCGTGGAGTTAAAAGCGGAGTTTGATGCACCGCTCATATTCTGCGTTTATCTCTTCATCTGTCAGAGCACAGCTTTATAATAAATTCCAGTAACTGGAAATGGTTATTGATAACCATACCTCTATGGTAACTGGTAATGATCCTGATTGATAACTTCCCGGATCCAGTGCTGACTGTGCCACTCACTGGCTGGGGGCCTTCAGCCGAGTGACTTAACCTCTCTGAGTCTCTGTAGCTCAGTTGCAAGACAGAGGAAATCATGATCCTCCTTCACTGAGTTATTTTGAGGATCGAACAAGAGGTTGGGTCGAAAGGACTTTTGCGCAATGCTTGGGCTGCGACATGCACTCATAAATGCTTCCGTGTGAGGTGCACAGCTTTAGGAGTCAGGCTGCCTTGGATGTGAACCCCAGCTTGGCTCTGCTGCTTGTGGCTGTGTGACTTTGGCCAAACCAATTACCTCTCTGAATCTGGTTTCCTCCTGGGGAAAATGGAGCTCATAATACCTTGCTTGCAGAACTGCAGTCAAGATGACATGACAAGGCGTGTTTTGATGCCCAGCATGGCTCTGTAGGAATTCCCCTTTTCTCTCCTCTTGACTTTCAGCAGCGCTGGCCTTGTCAGCGCCCAGGCTGGCGTCAATCCCGCTGTCCCTTTGCTGGCTTTTTGCACCTGGCCTGCCAAGTGTGGCTGGAGGGAGGCAACAGAACCATGGGAATGCCTCCCCAAGAATGGCTAAATCCGGGGGGCCACATCAGCGAGGCTCTTCTGCTCCAGGCAGTCCTCTCATCCTTCTCTTGGGTGCAGCCTGTGTTTCACTCTGGCAGGTTGAAATTTCTCCACCACCCACTCATGCCACCCTCCCCCCTGCCTTAACCATGGAATTGACCCGAACTCTCCCTTGATCAAGGTCACTGATACGAGCTCTTTTCTCTCCACCATCCAATACGTCCAATTCTCACCTCTATCTTTTTTGCTATCTTCGAGATGCAAAGGTTGGAATGTCCCTCTCCTTCCCAAGGCTTTAGGATTTCTCCCTCTTCCAGTACTATCTCTCTACTGGTTGCACTGTCTCAGCCAAAAATAACAAAAACAAAACTTGCTCAAATCCCTAACCTGCCCAAGTCTGGCAGTGACCCTGCTGTTCCCTTATTTGATTCACTCATTCACTTATCGCTTGTTTAGGAAGCCTACTGAGTGCCCCAGGCACTCGGGGTACAGAGACAAAGAGACTGTCTTTACCCTCAAAGTCTTCAAAGTCCAGGAGAGCCAAGCTCACAGAAGATGCCAAGTGAGATGCCAAGATGGCTTCATGCTTGGTGCAGGTTGACTGGATGTGCCAGGGAGGAAAGGACTCCAAGCATGATGCTCAGCTTTCTGGTCTGAGCGAACAGGTAAATGGTGGTGTTGTTCACGAGACAGAGAAACGGGAGGAGGAGCTGGGGTGGGGGAGATGGCGGGGCATGATGCGCTTGAGGTACCATTGGAACATCCAGTAGAGATCGCCAGCACATCTTCAGCTCAAGGAAGAGGGAGGTCAGAACTGGAATTGGAGATTGGAGACTCGTTGGCGGTAGGAGTTGAAAACACGAGTGTAGATAGAGAGCTCT